GGGACCCGGACTTGGGGGTGGGAGTCGCTTCGGCTCTGGTTCCGTCCGCCCCTCCAAGTTCTTCCCCTTCTGTTGCTCGTTCGGTCCCCCCCCCCCCCTTGCTGCCGGCTCCTAAACGTCTGAGGGTTTCGGAGCCGGGGCTGGGTTTAGTTGGTTGTGAGACTCGGGCGGTCTCGGGGGTGTCCCCTTCTGGGGCGGTGGCGGAGGCATTCGAGCCTGGTCCTTCTGCCGGAGCTTCTGGGTCTGGCCAGTGGACCCCCTTTGTTCCTGCTTTTTCGGCTGCTCCCACCTTTTCTTTGGGGGTGGGGGCTCAGGAGGACGGCTCGGCCCCAGGCCCTCTGGGCGAGGTTCCTGGGGTTGGGGAGGGGTTGGCTTGGGGGCCTTGGGCCCCGTTGGACCCCGCCTGGGTTTTTCTACCCTCTGAGCGGGGCTTGGTGTTACAAGGAGAGGGGTTCTCTTTCGCTCCCTCCGCGTACGAATTGGATTTGGTGTCCACCCCTCCCCGGGTTCGGTTCAGTGATCCCGCGGGTTCTTCGGTTCCGTCTTTCCAGAGGTTTCCGGCTTCCCGTGTTTCGTCTTCGGAGGTGCGGGAGGCCTTGGCGGCTTACCTCCTGCGTGACCCGGATTATGCCTTCGTGATGGATCCGCGTTCCTTCGTGTACGGATCCCCTGGTTCGTGCTGGTTTCGTTATGAAGTTCCGGAGTCGTCCTGGTTGGCAGACTGTCCTCTCTTTTCGTTGGAGGCTTGGCACACGTTCTATCGGTTCCGTGCGCTTGAGTGGTGAGAGGTTTCTATGGCGTTGCAGGTTTTCCTGGGGGGCGACTTCGAGCATCTGAATGCTTGTTTGTTCGCCCCTGCCCTTCTGCGGGATGTTGGTGTCATGCAGCTTCACGTGCAGGTTCCTTCCCTCTCGACTGCCTTGATTGCGGAGGATTTGCGGACTCGTGGCCTGCTTGCTTCGGCTCTGCGTTTCTTTTCCCTCCTTGAGCTGTCCTCGGATTGGCTTGAGTTGGATGTGGGAGCGCTTGGGGCCGCTGCTGGGTCTGGTGCGCTGCCCTCTGCGGTGCGGGTGTCGTCTGCTTTGTTGAAGCTCTTCATGCCCATCCTGCATGATGCGGTTTCGCGGTTCTATGCTTCTCGCCTCGCGTGTCGTCAGGTGGTGCTGGCTTCTTCCTTGGAGTCCGCCTGGGCCCTGGCTCTTCATTTGTCTTCGCCCTTTTGTCCGTTGCTGTTTGTGGAGTCTGCTGTGGTGCAGTATCTGCAGGCGGCCTCGGTCAGTTGTCGGCCTATGTCCGAGTTGTTGTTGCTCCGGGGGGCTCATGGGGGGGCCTTCCCAGAAGGGTTGTGCCAGGGCTCGGGGGTCTTTTCGTCGGGGTATGCCTTTGGTGCCGGATTCGGGGCTGGTGGCGCCTTCGGTTCCGGCTGTTGCTGGTCGGCGTGGGGACCATCCTGTTCGCCGCTTTGGTTCTCGCAAGGCGCGTCGGCCCTTTCGCGGTTCGTCCCATTGACGGGGCGATGGGGGGGGGCGGCTCGCCCGGTTTGCCCACGCCTGGTCCCACGATTCGTGGGCTTTTCGGGTCGTTTCGTGCGGCCTGTGGTGGCGTTGGGTGGCTCTTCCTCCCTCGGGGGGTTCGGGGCTGGCGGGGCAGGCCTCTTCTCCTGCGCTCTGTCGGGTCATCTCGGAGTGGGTTCGCTTGGGCGTGGTCGAAACGACGTCGTCCCTCAGGTGGGTTTCCCGCCTGTTTCCGGTCCCGAAACGGGACTGCGCGGACCTCCGGTTCATTCTGGACTTGTCCCGTCTGAACCCGTGGGTTTTGTGCCCCTCCTTTCGGATGACTACGCTGTCCCAGGTCCGTCTTCTTTTGGAGAGGGGCGCTTGGATGGTGTCCCTGGACCTCAAGGACGCGTATTGGCACGTCCCGGTTCATCCGGGGTTCAGGGACTGGCTCGGTTTTGTTGTGGGGCGTCAAGGTTACCGCTTTCGTTGTCTTCCCTTCGGGTTGAATCTGGCACCTCGCGTTTTCACACGCCTTACTCGGGTCGTGGTGGCCCGCCTGCGTCTGCTAGGTGTTCGGGTTCTGGCCTACCTCGACGACTGGCTGGTTTGGGCTCCCAGCCAGTCCGCGTGTCTGCTCGCAAGGGGTTTGGTTCTTTCCCTGCTCGCCGGGTTCAAGTTCTTGGTAAACTGGAGGAAGTCCCATCTGGTTTCCTCTCAGGTTCGGTCTTGGCTGCATCTGGTTTGGGACGCTCGCACTGCTTCCTTGTCTCTTCCTCCGGCGGCTCTGTTGCGCCTGCGGTCCCGCCTTCACCTGTTTCTGAGGGGTTCCCGGGTCACGAGGCGGTTACTCGAGAGTGTACGGGAGCCTGAACTTTGCCATGATGGTCTACCTGCCGGGTCGGGTGTGTCTTCATCGGCTGTTCTGGTTCCTTCGAGGACGATCCTTCTGCCTCTCTCATGATTGTTGGGTTCAGCCTCCGAGGGCTTAGCGTCGGTTGCTGCATCACCAGCTTCCTCTTCGGGTTTTTCAGGGTTCAGTGCCTTGGCGCCTTCCCGAGCCCTCGCTCGATGTGTACACGGACGCGTCGTCTCTTGGCTGGGGTTTTGTGACCAGTGCTCACCAGGCCGGCCAGGGGCGGTGGGGTCTGTCCTTCCGTCGGGCTCACAGCACGGTCCGGGAGTTCGCGGCGGTGTGGATGTCGCTCTGGAGGATTCGAGTCGCTCGCGGATCGATGATCCGGCTCCATTCAGACTGCTCCCCGGTGGTTCATTGCCTGAACTGCGGGGGTTCGATGCGGTCCTTGGCTCTTTGGGGCTGGTCGCTTCGGGTGACTCGTCTGCTGAATTCTCGGAGTTTGGCTCTCCTGGCTGTTCATGTCCGGGGGGTGTCCACCGTCCTGGCGGACAGCCTGTCTCGCTTCCCTTCCCCTTTCCACGGAATGGACGGTCAACGCCAACTCCTTCAGTTGGCTGTGCCAGACGTTCGGAACTCCGGACGTGGATCTCTTCGCGTCGACGTGGTCGAGGTATCTCCCGGTATATATGGCGCCCTTCCCCGACTGCGTGGCTGTCGGGGTCGATGCTTTCAGGCAGGACTGGGCGAGGTGGGGTTACCTATACCTCTTTTCCCCTGTTCCGCTTTTGCTCCAGGTCCTGACTCAATTGGAGATTTACCGAGGTCGAGTTGTCCTTCTGGCTCCTTGGTGACCAGCCCAGCCTTGGTTTCAGGCACTGCTTGCTTGGTGTCCGAACCCGAGGGTCTTCCAGCTGCTCCGCCTCTTTCAGCAGATCGGTCCAGCCCTGTACGAGGCTGGTTCGGTCTTGTCCTCGAGTCTTCACGTCTGGTGTTTTTGACTCAGGTTTATCATTCCTTGTATGGTGCGCAGGTGGTGTCGTTGTTGGTCTCCCACCTGCGTGCTTCGTCTCGGCTGCAGTATGAAGTTTCCTGGCGGTCCTTCCGGTTCTTCCTACCACTGCGTAGGTGCTCTTCTGTTTCTGATAGGGTTGTTCTGTCCTTTCTCTCTTGATTGTTCCAGGACCATCATCTTATGCCCAATACTGTCACCTCGTATCATGCAGCGCTGGCGGAGCCGCTTCAGCTTGTTTTCGGTGTTGATGTTACTTCTGCGCTGTTTTGCAAGCTGTCTCGTGCGTTATTTCACATCCGGCCTGCTCATGTGCTGCTTCAGCCGTCTTTGTCCTCGAACCGCGTGCTCTCGTTTCTCTCTTCTCCTCGGTTTGTTGTGGCCCCTTCCGTTCGGGATTGTTTTTCTAAGGCGCTTTTCCTTTTGGCATTGGCCTCTGGGGGTCGGGTTGGGAAGCTTCATGCTCTCCTCTGGCGCAGGGGGTTTCTGCTCCTTCGGTCCTGGTGGTCGTTTTGTTCACTTGCAGCCGTCTCCCTCTTTTCTGGCGAAGAATGAGACAGCTGCTTTCCAGAGGGGGCCGTGGGTTGTTGATGCTTGGTTGGTCAGGCCGGGAGTGCATCATGTATTGTGTCTGGTTGCGGCTCTCCGCCGTTATTTGCGCGCAACGGCTTCTGTTGCTGAGGATGTGCTCTGGGTTGATCTGGTTTCCCTTCTTCCTTGTTCCCGGGCTTGGGTCTTTCAGGTCATCCGCAGGTGTAGCCAGCCTGCGGTTTTCCCCAGGCCCACAACGTTCGTTAATTTGCTGCTTTGGCTGCCGTCTTTGGCAACATGTCTTGGGTGGACATTTGAACCCGGGGTTTTGGGAGATCGAACAGGGTCCTGGCCACTCACTACCTGGTGAATGTTCCTGGGCCTGGTCAGGCCTGCGTTGCCTTGGGTTGGCGGTTGCAGCCAGTTGTCTCGACTTCGCGTTGAGGAGTGAGGACAGACCTCCTCCTGGGTAAGTCCCTGTTTTTTCCTTATCTTTAGGTAGTTAGCTCTGGGGAGGCGACGGGGGCTTCCCCCAGAAAACCAGCATTGAATGTAATGAAATGCTATTTTCTGGGTGAGTCCCGGAGGCTCCCCGGCATCCCTCCCTCCCTCCGGTCGGCGGTGTTTTTCATGCTTTTTGACATCCAGCCTAAGAATTGAAGGTTGGGTCGCCGGCGGATGAGTCTGGGGTTCCCCCCTTCCCCTCCCGGGGGGGGGGGGGGGGTTGAGCAGACAGCGGGGCGGTGACATGATGACATGCTAGTTTCCTAATTTTCGCTTGGGGAGTTCTGTCCACCTGTTTGGCTTTCGGTCGCAATAATTTTACCAGAATAGGGGTTTGTTTTGGGGTACCTTTGTAGGTGCCTGTCCCGGTCGATGGTAGACATAGAATGCTCCCAATCATGGGGGGGGGGTCTATAGGCCATTGCTCCTCGTGCCTCTCTAGATGGGGCCAGGTTCTGGCTCGTGGTCCCTGGTAGGCAAGAACTCCATGCATTGACTGATGCCAGACAGATGTTGAATATCCATCCACCCTGGATATCTCTGGGGGAGCCTCTGGGACTCACCCAGAAAATGGCATTTCATTGCATTCAACCCTGGTTTTTTTGGTGTTGGTCTTCACCACGCTGGACTAGTGGAGAAGGATAGGAAGGTTGTAGAAGAACTGTTTGTCAATCAGAAGATACAGGTGAAGTATAGCAGCAGAGTTTATTTGTGCTGATTGCAAGTGTAATGTTTAAAGCAGGGCTTAAATTATGGTTGACTTTGGGTTTTATGTTCATCTTATTATGTATTGTAGTTTTATGCATTTGGCACCATTGTCTCATTTGCCTTTGCAGATAATAATACACAAAATTGGTTTCTTTCTATGTTGTGTGCATTTTTATTGTAGTACACACGTACATGTAAGTATACAAATTTGAAATGGTTTACATTTGGTAAGTTTCAAACATTACAGTGATAAGTTCCTGGAAGATATGATGTATTTAAACATTGGTTACATAACATGATGTTTAAACAAAAAATTGATACAGTAAGGCAACATCAAATTATCTTTCATGCCTTACAATAAGTTTTATATTTAAATGAACTTGAAAACAATTCAAAGGTAAATATATAAAAGCAGAGTTAATGCACACAATTAACACAAGCCAAGAACTGCTGTGACTCTTACTTCCTCCTCTTGTGTGGATCCCTTCATAGGACCTGTCTGTCTGTTTTGATTTAATACAAATGTCTATACAAAATATAGTTTTATTAGTGTTCATTATATATTTGATTTAGCACATTGATTCTAAATTTCTAATGTAGAATTCTCATTTACATGTGGTCCTGATTATTTTGTGGCATTGAAATGTGTTCTGGCTTATTTTATTTTGTACTAGGCACTGTATGGAACAATATGTAAATGCTGCCGGTGAACAGAAACAAGGCAAAGGATACGGATTTCTGTAGGAGACTCTTGGTGGCTCCCTGAAGATATCTCACTAAGGTGGCATCCCAGTACTGAATCATATTGGCCACTGATACCTTTCATAAGTGTTTATCCTGTAGACTGTGTTCAGTGTTGGTTCTTTGCGAACCCCCATGATTCATCCTCTGAACCACAAGGGGTCACTCTGATCCTTCATTCTTTGTAGCTGGACTATTGTGTAGGTTGGCTTTTGGATTTACGTGCAGGGTGTATCCATTGTTCTCGCAGGTGGTTTATCTCGCTTCAGAGTGGGCCACCAGTGATGCATCCTTCTGTTCGCTCTCCAAGACATTCAGTTGCCCCTAGGTGAACCTCTTTACTTTGGTATGGATCACTCGACTTCTTTTGAACAATCGGAAGTTTGCAACTAGATTAGTACCAGAATTGAGAGGGCTCAATTTATAAGGACAGATTGAGAAAACTTGCTATCACAACCATAGGAAACAGAAGAAACAGAGGGGATATCATCACAGTATTCAAATTCCTGAGGGGAATAGACAAAGTGGACAAAGAAAGCCGGTCTAAATTAAAAAAAAAATAAGACGAGTGGTTATCAATTGAAGCTGGACACGCAATCAAGTTGTAGAGATGTATTGACGCTCTCGTTCCATGTTTGAAGGGTTGGAAAGGGAAATGCATTTATGGAAAAGGTAGTTAAAGCCAATTCCATAGACAACTTTAGGAAAACATTTGATAGAAACAATGTTGAAAGAGGTAATTAGCACACCAGGTATAAAAATCTAGAAACTGGGGCCTAATTTTAAAGATGTGAATTTCACTCTCATAGTTACTGATTAGTATGTGTCAAAGTTTAACCAGCCTGCAGTCTACCCTCGGGTAAATATTATAAGTTTGCGGCTCTCGTGTTTTCGAATATATCATTGGCAAATACCTAACTCGGGTTTTGGTGGTTCAACAAGGTGGTGGCAGTTCATTCTTTGTTGAATGTTCTTGGTTCACTCAGGGCTTATGTGGCTTGAGGGCAGTTAATGCACCACTAATTCCACATTCCTGGGAGTAATGTTCTGCAACTTTCTTCATCCCCTGTGAGTACTCCTTTGGTTTGTTTCTCTGTGGTGACATAGCACCAAGGAATCACCATGGAGCCCCTCCCAGGAAACCAGTGTTGAGTGTAATGAAATAACTTTTTCTGATGTATCCTTGGTTTAGGGGAAGCAAACAACTGTCCACTTCTCGCTTGCTTCTGCTTCTCATGTAATGGTTCGGTAATTTCTCATCCCATACAACCTTAAATTCAAGGCAGAGTATTTCAAACTTTGCAGAGTGAGTCTCATAAAGAAGCTAATGTATCTTTTAGCTTCCTTCCAACAATCTTCCTAGGAGTGGTGATGGATATAAGGCTGTGGATACCTCCGGTGATCACCCTAATGCAATCACATCATGAACAACATAATTAAAATTATTTTTTTTCCAGATTCTCATCACAACAGCCACCCTTGCATGGGGAGTAAACTTCCCAGCACATCTGGTGGTGGTTAAGGGAACAGAGTACTATGATGGCAAGACTAAGAGATATGTAGATTTTCCAATTACTGGTAAGATATTTATCATAGTTCCCCATTTATTTTTACCATTATATTTTTTTCTGGTGGGAGCCCCTACGGCTCCCCGGAGCTTACTAGGATGATATGCTAATGTCTGGCTCCAGTATTTTGTGTGTTCTGGCTCCAGTATTTTTGCAGCACTGTGCCTTGTGTGTGGCTGCTGTACTCCAGGGGTGCGAGAGCCAGGAGTTATTCCTTGGTACTCAGGCTGCATGCACCTAGGGTTCCCTTCTCTAGGTGCCTTCTAAGTACTGCCCTTGGAGCTTGGAGTTACCTTCCACAAGTTCCTCGGGGGTCTGCTTCTGTGTGTCCGTTTTACTGCTCGGTTTTTCGGCCGCTCTTTGGGTACTTGGGGGTTTTGTGTTCCCTAGTTAACCTTAGGGTAAGAGGCAGTTTTCACACTGGTAGGGGCGCAGGGTGCTGTGCAGCTAGTTGTCACCTATCACAGCAGCCGGCTCTGTTCCTTGAGTACATTGTCCTCTTGTGGGGTTTTGTTTTTCTTTCTCTTTTTGCCTTGGTGGGGGGATCTGCCCTATTTGCCACTGGTGTTTGGCCTCACCCTGATACTTGGTGGTGCCCCCTGCTTGGTCCCCGTGAGTGTACACGTCCCTGGGGTTCAGGCTTTCGACAGTTTGTTTGGTAGTTTTGGGTGCCGGTTAGCAGTACCCTGCCTGGGGTTTACCTGAGCACGAGTCCTCTTCAAGTAAATCCTCAGGACCCTATGAATCCCCATAAGGGACTCATGGGTCCGATGGATGTGACCCCGGGGTCCCCCCCCCCCTCGCTTCGTGCGAGTTTGAGAGTTGTTCGGTCCACTTGTCTCAGGGCAACCCTCACTGTTTTTGCCTCTGTCACGCAGCCTGTTGGGTCGGTGACACTTTCGACCCTGAATCCTGTGAGTATTGTTGCTTGCTAGTGACTCAATTTACCCAATCTATGGATGATCATCTTCGGGTACAGGCTGCACAGGCATTGCATTCTAGGTTTCGGTTGTTGCAACGAGCTACGTTGGTTGCTCACCCGGATGTCCCGCGGCTGCCCCGTTTTGCTTATAGGGACCCGGACTTGGGGGTGGGGGTCGCTTCGACCCTGGTTCAGTCCGCACCTAGTGGTCCTCCTGTTGTTTGTTCTGGTCCCCCTCCCCTGCTTCTGGCCAGGAAATGTCTGAAGGTTTCGGAGTCGAAGTAGGGATTACTTGATCTCGAGACTCGGGCAGCTTCGGGGGATGCCCCTTCCGTGGCGGCGGCAGAGGCTTTCGAATCTTGTCTCTCGGCCGAAGCTTCTGGGTCTGACCAGTAGGCCCCTTTCTTCCGACTTCAACGGCTGCGCTGTCCTTGTCTTGTGGGGTCGGTGCTTGGGGAGAGGACTCGGCCCCGGGTCCTGCAGAAGAGGACCCCGGGGCTGGGGAGGGGCTGACTTGGGGGTCTTGGGCCCCGCTGGACCCTGCCTGGGTTTTTCTATCCTCTGAGCGGTGCTTACTGTTACAAGGAGTGGGTTTTTTTTTTCCTCCCTCTGCGTACGAGTTGGATTTGGTGTCTGCCCTCCCCTGGTTCGGTTCCGTTTTCCCCCAGGTGCTTCGGTTCCAACTTTCCAGGGGTTTTCGGCTTATTGCATCCAACCTGCTGCAGTGCGAGCGGCCCTTGCGGCAAACCACCTGTGTGACCCGGATTATGCCTCGGCAATGGATCCCTCGGCCTTCAAGTTTGGGACTTCGTTCCCTCTCTGGCTCCGTTACGAGGTTCCGGAGTCGTCCTGGCTGGAGGACTGTCCTGTCTTTGCCTTGGAGGCTTTGCACTCCTTCTGCCGTTCCTGCACGCTTGAGTGGAGGGAGGCTTCGACGGTGCTTCAGGTTTTCCTGCAGGGCGACCTTGAGCACCTCAATGAGTGCTTGTTTGCTCCTGCCCTTTCCCGGGATGTTGGTGTCGTTCAGCTCCATGTGCAGGTTCCCCTCCTTTCGGCGGCGCAGGTGGCGGAGGACTTGCGCACTCGGGGCATTTTGGTTGCGGCCTTGCGCTTCCTTTTCCTCCTGGAGCTGTCTTCTGACTGGTTCACGGAGGATGTGGGGGCGCTTCGGGCTATTCCTGGGTCTGGCGCCTTGGCCTCGGCTACTCGCTCGTCAGCTGTCTTGCTGAGGCTTTTCGCGCCGGATGCGGTGGCTCTGTTTTATGCCTCCCAGCTCGCGTGTTGGCAGACGGTGCTTGCCTCCTCTGTGGAATCCACTTGGGCCTTGGCTCTTAGGATGTCTTCCCAGTTTTGCCCTCTCTTGTTTGAGGCTTCAGCCATTGCGCAGTTTATTCAGGCTGCTTCGGCTTCCTGTCGTCCTATGTCGGACTTGCTGGTTCTCCGGGGGTCCCGTGGTGGGCCTTCCTGGAAGGGTCCCACCAAGGCTCGGGGTTCTTCTCGTCATGGTAGGCCACGCTCATGCCTGGTCCTACGATTTGTGGGCGTTTCGGGTTGTTTCGCACTGCCTCCAGTGGCGTTGGGTGGCCTCTCCCTCTGCTGGGGAGTTCGGGGCTGGCAAGGCAGGCTTCTTTCCCTGCGCTCTGTCAGGTCATCTTGGAGTGGGTTCACTTGGGCGTGGTCGAAACGACGACATCCCTCAGATGGGTTTCCCGTTTGTTTCCAGTCTCGAAATGGGACTGCACGGACCTGCGGTTCATTCTGAACTTGTCCCGTCTGAACCCCTGGGTTCATTGCCCCTCCTTTCGGATGACCACGCTGTCCCAGGTTCGGCTCCTGTTGGAGCCAGGTGCTTGGATGGTGTCCCTGGACCTCCGAGACGCTTATTGGCATGTCCCGATTCATCCGGGGTTCAGGGAATGGCTCAGTTTTATTGTGGGGCTTCGTGCTTACTGCTTTTGTTGTCGTCCGTTAGATTTGAACCTGGCACCTCACGTTTTCACGCGCCTCACGTGGGTCGTGGTGACCCGTCTGCGTGTGTCAGGTGTTAGAGTCTTGGCCTACTTCAACGACTGGCTGGTTTGGGCTCCCAGCCAGTCCGCTTGTCTGCTAGCCAGGGATCTGGTTCTTTCTCATCGTGCCGGGTTCGGGTTCTTGGTGGATTGGAGGAAGTCGGTTGAGCCGAGCAGGGAGCCAGTCGGCCGAGCGGACAGCACACTGGGCTTGTGATCCTGTGGTCCTGGGTTCGATCCCAGGCGCCGGCGAGAAACAATGGGCAGAGTTTCTTTCACCTTATGCCCCTGTTACCTAGCAGTAAAATAGGTACCTGGGTGATAGCTGTCACGGGCTGCTTCCTGGGGGTGGAGGCCTGGTCGAGGACCGGGCTACGGGGACACTATAAAAGCCCCGAAATCATCTCAAGATAACCTCAAGAAGTCCCATCTGGTTCCCTCCCAGGTTCGGACCTGGCTGGGCCTTGTGTGGGACTCTCGGACCGCTTCCTTGTCTTTTCCTCCGGAGTCTCTTCTGCGGCTGCAGTCCCGCTTGTGCCTGTTTCTGGGGGAGCTCCCGGGTCACCCGGTGGTTGCTCGAGGGTCTGTGCGGGAGCCTGAACTTCGCGATGCTGGTCTGCTCACCGGGGCGGGTTTGGCTTCGTCGGCTGTTCTGGTTCCTTCGGGGACGTCCCTTCCGCCTCTCTCGCGATCGCTGGGTTCGGACCCCGAGGGCTTTGTGTCAGTTGCTGCGTCTCCGGCTTCCTCTTCAGGTTTTTCGGGGTTCAGTGTCTTGCCGCCTACCCGAGCCCTCGCTCGATGTGTTCACGGACGCGTCGTCTCTCGGCTGAGGCTTTATGACCAGTGCTCACGAGGCCGGCGAGGGTCGGTGGGGTCTGTCCTTCCTTCGAGCCCACAGCACTGTGCGGGAGTTCTTTGCGGTGTGGTTTGCTCTTCGGAGGATTCGAGTCGCCCACTGGTCGACGATCCAGCTCCATTCGGACTGCTTCTTGGTGGTTCATTGTCTGAACAGGGGTGGGGGGGGTTCGATGAGGTCCTTGGCTATTTGGCGCTGGTCGCTTCGAGTGACTCGTCTGCTGAGTTCTCGGGGTTTGGCTCTCCTGGCAGTTCACATGCTGGGAGTGTCCAACGTCTTGGCTGTCAGCCTGTCTCATTTCGTTCCCATTTCGTTCGAGGGAGCTGGTCGGCCGAGCGGACAGCACACTGGGGTTGTGATCCTGTGGTCCTGGGTTCGATCCCAGGCGCTGGCGAGAAACAATGGGCAAAAGTTTCTTTCACCCTATGCCCCTGTTACCTAGCAGTAAAAATAGGTACCTGGGTGTTAGTCAGCTGTCACGGGCTGCTTCCTGGGGGTGGAGGCCTGGTCGAGGACCGGGCCGCGGGACACTAAAAAGCCCCGAAATCATCTCAAGATAACCTCTCAAGATAACCCTCTCCACGGAATGGACGGTTGACACCGACTCCTTCTGTTTTCTTTGCCAGACGTTCAGACGCCCCAAGGTGGACCTCTTCGCATCGGCATAGTCACGGCGCCTTCCCCTGTTTGTGGCGCCCTTTCCTGACTGCAAGGCCGTCGGGGTCGACGCCTTTCGGCAGGACTGGTCAAGGTGGGGGTTCTTGTACCTCATTTTCCCGTTTCAGCTGTTGCTCCAGGTCTTGACTCGCTTAGAGACTTACCAGGGGAGAGTTGTCCTCTTGGCCCCTTGGTGGCCGGCCCAGCCGTGGTTTCAGGTAATGCTTTCTCGGTGTCTGAACCCGGAGGTTTTTCCGCGGTTCCGCCTCTCCCAGCAGATCGGACATCACCAGGTGGCTTTTTTATTAGTGTCCCACCTGCGGGCTTCGTCTCGGCGGCAGTACAGTGGTACTTCGGTTTAAGAGTTTAATCCGTTCCTGGAGACTGCTCGTATTCCGAAGCTAATTTCCCCATATGAAATAATGGGAAATGAATTAATCCGTTCCTGACTACCCCAAAAACCCCACTTCAAACTAAATTTTATACCTAATTCATCTAAATAAACCTACAAAACTATGTTCAAGTTATTACTTACCTTGCTGTTGGCGTATGGAAGATGGTGAGGA